TCACTGGGAACTAAAGTAAATTCAGTGATGGTGGTGATGGCCGTGACATGGGTGCAAAGCGTCAGCGGCTAGGTGACCCGGGATCTTCATTCTATGGGACCTCCCCTGGTTCAAGTTATATGTACAATCCAACTCCTTATGCATATGCTGGACAACCTCCGCCGTTCCCTGTTGTCAAACTTCGTGGTCTACCATTTGATTGCACAGAAGCTGATGTTGCTGAGTTTCTCCATGGGCTTGACATCGTTGATGTTCTTTTTGTCCACAAGAATAGCAAGTTCAGTGGGGAAGCCTTTTGTGTTTTGGGGTATCCTCTTCAGGTTGATTTTGCCCTTTCAAGGAATAGGCAGAATATGGGCAGGAGATATGTTGAGGTGTTCAGAAGTAAGAGGCAGGAATATTACAAGGCAATAGCAAATGAAGTTTCTGATGCTCGTGGCAGTTCCCCTCGCAGAAATGTTCCAAGGGCCAAATCTTATGATGAAGGGAAGGACTCAGCAGAACATACAGGGGTATTGCGGTTGAGGGGATTGCCATTTTCCGCTGGCAAGGATGATATAATGGATTTTTTTAAGGACTTTGTGTTGTCAGAGAGCTCAATTCATTTTACAATGAATTCAGAAGGCAGGCCAACTGGGGAGGGGTTTGTAGAGTTTGCAAGTGCAGAAGATTCCAAGGCAGCTATGGCTAAGGATAGGATGACACTTGGAAGTCGATATATAGAGCTGTTCCCCTCATCGCACGAGGAGTTGGATGAAGCAGTTTCAAGAGGACGGTGATCCTTATAGATCTTTGTTATCATTTGCCATTATGTACTTGTTATAATCTTTTATTTCACTGTTTGGAATTTTGCTTGCAGACATTCAGTTAGATTTTCTAGTTGTTGGTTTGGGAGAAGTATGATATATGTATGGGAGAAGTTTTGCATACTAGTTTGGTCCGTTAATTAAGGTTCTCTGTTGCCTTAACTTTATATCGCTCGACACATGTTGCGTCAATACTTAGGTCCCTGAAATTGATGACATTTAAGGTCGAGTTCTTTTTATCTTTCAGAATTTAAGTTTGGTTGGCTAAGAACTGTTTCTCATGTATCGACTATTGTTGTTTTAGGCATCGACGGGTTGATTATGGATGCCTATTTTGTTCTGCTTCCTTATTTATGTAGACAAAAAAGGGTTTGCTTATGGTTTTCTAGATAGTGATATCAAATACTAGTGTTTTTCTTTTTGTACAGTGTTGCTTCAGTAATTCACAGATTTCATGCAAACTTGTCTGACTTTCTCTCCACCCATTTTCCCTTCTCTATTTTCTGAACTGGAGTTTTAAACCAATTATCATACTGCTGTACTGTGGCGGAAAACCGAAGACAAATCTTTAGATGATATGGTAGGAGACTGAATAAACTTGAGAGTAAAAGAGTTTCCTTGTAAACCTGTTTTTCTTGTCAGTGTATGTTAAATAAAAATAATTAAGAGTAATATAATCTAGGATACTGCTCGACTCCTTCCTCCTTCCTACAAACCTCGGTTTGACACATGTGCAAAAATAATTCATAAAAAACACAAAAGGAAAAATTTCTACACACATGTCAAACTTCCATTGGCAGGAATGAATGAGTTCCTACTTACTGGGGAGGGAAGTTTTTTCTTGTCTATGTTGTTGCTGAAATTGTTAGGTTGTCTTGGAGTTGTCATATGGTATTGAAATACTACAAGTTAAAATGCTGCTAGTTATAAAAATCCCATTGAGAACCTCAAGATTATGGTGACTTCCATCCATCCGTCCCTATTATTGCTTTCACTTCCTTTAAGTTTGGGTACGGCATTCATGTGCAACCCGCCAGAATTACGCTGAGGTTGGCTCTCTCTGCTGAAATCTATTTCAGTTTGAGCAGACAGTGGAATTAGTTGACATGAGATTTTACTTCGGAATGCTCATTTTGTGGAAATAATAACATGTTTAGCAGCTTTTCCAAGCTTGCTCATTAGTTATAACCAAAGTCAACCCCTCCCTCTATCTCTCATGCCATAAATAGCTAGATCTATCTTCATTTACAAGTTCACAAACGGTATTGGGGAATTGGGACGCACTGCCTCACTGGTATGGATAAATGCTGTTAATCACTTGAGCTACAAATTGTTAGGTTGTCTTGGAGTTGTCATATGGTATTGAAATACTGCAAGTTAAAATGCTGCTATTTATAAAAATCCCATTGAGAACCTCAAGATTATGGTGACTTCCATCCATCCATCCCTATTATTGCTTTCACTTCCTTCAAGTTTGCGTACGGCATTCATGTGCAACCCGCCAGAACTACGCTGAGGTTGGCTCTCTCTGCTGAAATCTATTTCATTTTGAGCAGACAGTGGAATTAGTTGACCTGAGATTTTACTTCGGAATGCTCATTTTGTGGAAATAATAACATGTTTAGCAGCTTTTCCAAGCTTTCTCATTAGTTATAACCAAAGTCAACACCTCCCTCTATCTCTCATGCCATAAATAGCTAGATCTAACTTCATTTACAAGTTCACAAACGGTATTAGGGAATTGGGACGCACTGCCTCACTGGTATGGATAAATGCTGTTAATCACTTGAGCTACAAATACAATAAAGTCACGCAACTACCAAATCATTAGCTCATCCAACTCATCCAATCCAACCAATGATGGTAGGTTTGAATGATATCAACATTCTCAATTCATCATGAAAGCATTCAACTTGCAAAACATTTTCTTACTAAACAACTATGCATGTCGCGCCAAACTATCAAGCTAGATCGTCAAGCTATCAATTTGAATCACACTTTATCTAACCTCAAATCAGACAATCTAACAACATATATAACGTGCTACCTCATTAACTATTTGAATTGATAGTTTTTAAAACATATAGACAAACCTACAAGACAGTCTCACTAGAAGTATGGTGTCAAAACAAAACCACGGGAAGTTAACGTCCAAAGAGCTTATTAATATATTTAAATAGTAACATGAACATGAAACTAGATTTACCCATGTTCTTTATTCACAAACCAAACCAATCCCAAACAATTTTCTTGTATGCCATGACTTTGTCCAAGTAACCTGGGACACGTGTACAGATATACAATTCCTGCATTTAGGATACCCTGAGAAGCACTGACATTGCCTTGACAAAATTCTAATAAAAGATGGGGTAAAAATCGAGAGGGGCACCAACCATGCATGAATGTATTTCAAAATAATAATAATTTTTTTTATAAAAAAATAAAAAAAAAACTAGGCTTGCAGACAAAAACAGTGAGTGATATCTTTTCCCAACTTAGATAACTATGACAATACAATAATTATTAATTTTGTAGATAACTATGACAATAAAATAATTATTAATTTTGTACTACATATTATAATCAAATAGAATCTTAACTATTAACTGTTCCTCGGGCAGATGGCTATCTTGCATTTGCCCATATTATTCTTGAATCTTGATCCCTAGGAGGCAAACCAAATTAAATATATTTTCTTCGTTTTATATTCCTCTCAGATATTTTACTTCTTTTTTCTTTTTTAATAGCCTAGCGGGAGGAGAGCAATTCAAATATTATTTTATTAACTAAAGATCTAAGATATATTTCGATAAACTTGCCCAAACCATTAATAAGATGTGATTTTATAATATGTATTAGTTCTAGCACCAAAGGTTTAGTTGTAACTCTCTGTTTTTTTGGTAGCGAAATGGGGTTCATTTCATCGACACAAATGCTAATTAAGAAAAACTCTATTGGAATTTGTACTTTAGATATCTTGTTGATGTCTTTGATTTGATTACGTTGAAGTTTATTTAATGAAGTTTTTCTTTAATAATAATAAATAAATAAATAAATAACTAACTAACAAAAAATCTGGGTTTTGAAATCCTACACAAATCATTAAAAATCAAATGACTCACTGCAACAGAGGAGCATCCCAAATCATTATTTACACTACTTAGTCGGACCTTACGAGTCTCATTTATATAATTTGCACCACTTTGCACTAGTTTTCTAATACTAATCGTGTGCTTATGTTTGAAATTACGTGATTTTAAACCTGTATATAATTGTCTTTTTCTGTTAAATTCAAAAAGAAAGATATTCATTTATAAAATGGGAAAAAGAAGGTATTAATCACTTTTAAATCGCTCTTCTTTTAATTACGGGCAGCGGGCTCCTCTCTCTCTCTCTCTCAATTTTCTCCCTCTGCCGCCTCTGTTTTCTTGGGTATTGCTTCGGGGCAGCGGGCAGCCTTGCCCGAATTATCTCAATCAATATAAACAAAGCCCTACGGGGCGACATAATAAGTATTAGATCCCGCTCTTCTCATCTTCTCCATTCCATCTGTCTCTCTCTCTCTCTCTCTCTCTCTAGGGTTTTAATTAGGGCTTTTCAAGTCTTAACCAACTGGGTTTTCCCTCTCCAAGCTTGTTCACTCCAATGTTTTCTTGCTTCCATTAAATATAACTCCCTTTCCCTCAGTAGTAAGGTTTTTCTTCTGGGCTTCATCAAACACCTTTGTGGATCACCACCATACCAAGGTTTTTGTGGGGTTTTACTGTTTTTATTAGAGCATTCTAGTTCTGTTAATTACTTCTTCTATTGGCTGCCATGGAAAATTAGGGAAAAGCATGTTTATTGCTGGTTTAGTGTTGGTGTCTTCTTAGTTTTTCTGGGTTTATTTCCTTCTTTCTTTTCGGGGATAGAATTATCTCATTTCCAATCTCCCTGAGCAGTGGGGTTTCTTGCAGTTGTTGTAAGCTTTGGTTGAAAAGGCTTTGTTTCCAAAGGAGTGTTTGATCATTTTAGCTTTTTGCCACTTTTTCAGTCAAATTTACTTGCTTTAAAAAGCATCCAATACAGGTTAGTTTCATTTTCTTCTTTCTTCCTTCTTGGCCACCTTCAAACTCTTCCCCAATTCAACTTTGTTTCTCTTTAACCAACTCCTACCAGAGCCTGCCTCATTCACTCACTCTTATATATCCATCCATGGCTCCATCCGCAAGAACAAGAGCGAAGACAAAAACAACAACAAAGGCAAGAAGAACCAATTTCAAGAAGAAGCCCGTCCACCAAAAGGGTAAGCAAGAAATTACTCTTTCGAATTCGCCTTCGAATTCCTCCTCCGTGGTCTGCGATGATCCTCCGAAGATCGAAGGAGGCGCAGATGATTTGGAGGGTCCTGATGATGTCTCTACAAGCGCTTGCTCCACACCAAAAGGTCAGAGATTTCGGATACCGGAGATTGCGACATGTCCACCGGCGCCCAAGAAGCAAAGAGTGATTTCAAACTGCTTGTTTCGGAGATCTCCCATCGCTTTCTTTGCTCCACCGGACTTGGAGCTCTTCTTCTACTTTGCAAATGGCGGTATTTCAGTTTAAAACCATGAGTTTCATGATGATGAAGTATAAAAATAATAATTTCTTCAGTTTAAGAGATGCTTAATCGTTTATCAAATATATTACTTTTAGTTTAGCAAGTTTCTTCATATCATCTGAAGACAGTGTGGGATGATGAGATTATTTTGAGTTGGGTTGTTTAAGAAAGCAATTATTGGGTTGCTTTCCTTTCCTTTGCCAACTATCTAAGTTGGGTTTTCAATTTTCTAGGGTTATACTAATCAGTAATTAAATTAGCTGGGGCTGTCCAACTAATTAAATTTTAGCCTTTTTGCTTTTTTTTTTTTAAAACAAAAAATGTAAGCTGACCATTTGGAGTTGGTGAGTGCAAAATGTAATGGGTGGGTTTGAGGTTTGAGGTTTGAGTGTGGTTTTAGCTTGCAACCAATCATCTCAAGGCTTTGGTTTGTTAAGTCAACTTAAAGGAGAAGCATAGAGACTTCTTTTGTGTGTAAACTCCTCTTTTCAATTTATTGAAGATTGAAAGTTTATGTGGCAAATTATGCATTTTGTTTTTCTTTTTTCCGCCCATTAACTAGTTTTTTTATACAAGCGATATCAAAAAAGACAGGAACCAAACTTAAAATCTCAAGTGCATAATAAATGCTCTGAATTATTTGAGCTACGAGTCCTTTGCGTGCCGATTATAACTAATTGATACATGTGAATTTTGGGAATGGAATTAATTTGGGGACAAATTGTATCAGCAGTGTTGCATCATGACGTACGTCTTTGAATATTGGATTCCTACACAGGCTAATTTTGTGGAGTATTAATTTATTTAAATTCAATTTGTGAACCCCACTATCTAATCATATATGGTGCCACTATTTATTGTCTAATAAAATTATTTAGTCTAAATTAACGGCTAGAATTGTAAACTGAGGGTCCACCACATTCTGATGAAAAAAAATTATTATTTAGTGTCCTCATCTTCAGTCTTTTCTGTAAAAGACCTTCACAAAATGCATGCCTTCCAATATCACTTTTGGGCTGAGCTCAGAGTTAATTTCCAACATTTATTTATTTATTTATTTATTTGCATAATGGCCTGTTAGGAACACAGAAGGGACAGTGGGTGTGTGTGTATGGGATTATAAATTAATTTATATGAATTAGTTTTATAATGTATTTTCAAGGGTGAGAGATCATGTTGTCAGATGATGTGGGTGTCGCAGCTGAGCCCGGCATCAAACAGAGAATCCAATGAAGAGACTCGTGCGGGTTCACATTACAGAATCTCAAGAAAATTTCTCATCATTTTTTTCATATTTACTTTCTTACTTTATCCCTCGTGATAAGATTGTAACTCCATTTGGACACTAATAGGGAAGGGTTTATTCTCTTCCAAATTGTCATTATTAATATCTTTGGTGTACTTCTCTTCCACATTATTGCCAACCCACCCCACCACACGGTAATAACATTCAAACGTCTATATAAAATGAAAACTCTTCACTTTCAAGTTTTTGTTTTCACTTTTGTTGCTCTTCCCATCCTCTGTCTCCATCTCATCCTCACTCTCATTCTCACTCTTATTTTTCTTTATACTTTACCATAAAAAATGAAAACTAAAAATTAAAATTGAAATGATTATCAAACGGGCCCTAAATTATTTTTAGTTTCAAGTTATTATTTCATACATTTGTCATTCACTTATTCATCCTCCCTCCCGCCATCTTTTTTCTTTCATCATTTCCCCCCTATATACTTTACCATATATAATTCTAGCAAAATAAATGAACATTAAAAACTGAAATGAAATGATTATCAAATCAACCCTTAATACTTAGAAATATATGCGTCAAACAAGTATTGTTTTGTTTTCAAAATCTTGATTTTAGGAGGATGATTTTGGGACTTCAATTCTTTTTACTAATCTAGTTAAATGTCTATAATTTTTATTTTCATCATCCATTAACTCAATCCCAAAAGAAAAATTTAAAGTTTCAACCTTAACCCTAGGGAGATTCTCCAATAAGTGTTTTATGTTAAGGATTGGTTACATACTTCTAATCTTAGTCATTTGATTGCATTCATTGAATTTGTTGGTAGTCTCTTAGATGTAATCCAACGACCGAGATTAGAAGTATGTAACCAATCCTTAACTTAAATACTTATTGAAGAATGTCTCACATTAAATACTTATCGATCAACTTTTTTTTCGAATTTTACATGAAATTATTCTTTTGGGTACCGTACTATAACATGCTGGGATTTTGAATGTAATGATGCAAAATATGTTGGGGAAAAAAAGTTGGGAAAGTGTAGGGAAAATGTGCTTGTATATATCTCTTTTGCTATAGACTATGATCGATCATCGTTAGTACTTCCAAAAATCATATTCTCCGACCTTTTTTTTCTTTCCATAATTCTCCTTAGCTATACATGAAGCGACGTCGTCCAATTATTATAGATTCTTTTGTGGCAAATGATAACAATCTCAAACCTAGACCAAAGTACCAAATAACTCTCAACTATGACTCTTTTTACTTCTTCATTTCTACAATAGAGCATTTTTATGTACATTCATGACAAGTCTTGCCCATTAATCCCTCATCTAACTTTTTTATTTTTTATTATTTTTTTAATCTTGAAATCTCCCAAATAAAGCGGTCACAATTATTATTATTTTGACATAAAAGCGATAATATTTTATTGATAATGAGGGATGAAACAGGTATAAAAATCAAGCAATGTCCTAGAGGATTAGGCGAGTATCTCGACACCAAATTCTCTTTTAGTCTTCGGATTATTAATGGTTAGATTATATATAAGACTAATAAGTTTTGGAATAAGAATCCGTATCATAGAATGATCAAAGCCAAAATGAGCCTTTTATGCCAAAAGTAATATACTTTGACCAGTGCTCCATGTGTCCTAGTACGAGTGCAATATCTTCATGTAATGACTTAAAAGTTACATAAGTGGCCAAAGCATATATAGCTTTGGACACATAACTCAATCAATCTGTGGGATTTTCAAGGACTATTTAATTCAGAAGGAATTGAATGTGAAGGTAAAATTTGCTTTTTTTAGAAGTCGCTTCTCTTAAATGAAGTACTCACTTAAGAGAACCTTTTTATTTTTTCTTTCTTTCACACACAACTGTGGTCCCTTCTTTGTTGGGCATGATCATATACCTGCATGTGTGCATCTTTAAATATTTATCTAGCATGGCCATTTCCTTGTTGAGTACATGCACGTATTATGTATTTGGTATACACAGTCTTATAAATATGTATTATGGATTTTTTATATTATAAAATTTTAGATTTTTGGGATTAGAGAAAGGAGAAAGAGAAGAAAAATGAGGAAAGGGGCAGTTGAATTCTTCCTATAATAACTTTTAGAAGTTGACAATAATCCATAAATGTAATATTGTGATAAGTTAAATATTAACCCTAAACAATCTCGGGTTAGGTCAGTTGGTTAAAGGGTGCCCCTTGCATCCAAATTATAAAGCGCACATGTGGATTACACTGGTTGATTAGAGTAGTGTACTTGTGCCCTTGCACTCCAAGTTATAAGGTGCAATGTACTTGTGCCCTTGCACTCAAGTTCGAATTCCCCTACATGTATAGTCATGCAACTCGTCTAATAACGTAACACAATATCTTTTATACACTACTTCCTATATTTTCATGTACATCTCAAACATATTGTTTCATGGTTGAAACCATGAAAGCTCTGACTTAACTAAATAAGATGAAGCTTAATTAACCCAGTTAAAACAATAATCTTTTACAGTTTACAGCAGATTCGAAGCTGACAAATAAGATTCAAGTTAATCCGAGAACCAAACAGTGCCATACGTGTGGGTATATAATTTCTAGAGAGGGGAGACAGAGACAGTGATGGAGGGTGGAAAATTGATTAATTTTTTCTTTTTTACTCTCTTAAAAGTGAAAAAATGGAATAAAGTCGTACGTGTGGGTTTTGACAGAGGTGAGGAGAAAGGGAGTAGGAGGGAGGAGGCAGGAAGACCTTGGAATGAGGAACCAAAAAGATGGATTATATGGCCCCCCCCTTCATTATTTTAATTTAATTACTTTTTTTTATACAGAAATTGCATTTGGATTGATGTCTCTCTCTCTCCTAAAGTGAATGGAGAGAGAGAGAGGTTCTCTTTCAAATCCAATGATGCATATATCAAACACTGACTTTAGTTTTCTTCATTATAAAAAGTAAAATGTTAAATTATTAACTTTGGCCAACTTTTTCTAGAATCCGAGGTTGCCCCACTTCTTCTTTCACAAGGGAGATAAAACTACTTCTTTAGCTTTTGGGTCAAACTAGTTATACAGCTAACAGTAAATAATATTCTTCCTTCAACTCCTCACCTGCTAGTTTCATGTCCTCCGTTAATGTAGCTGGGTCCACTCTCATGCAGTTGTCATCACAAATTAGCTAATCTAGTGGTATTGTCTCAAATTGATTGGAGGTTTATGTGAGATACCTATTTGCGATAAGTTCAATATGGAAATAAATTTGTTTTCGGTGGCGGATTCATGAATTTTCTTTTCTGTGAAGGG